GTGATCATACAAATTACATTTTAAATTCCTAACACTTTGTCGACGACCTTATAAACTAGGTTCTTCTATTTAAAAACATAATTATCTAATAAAATACAATAAATTATCATAACAATTATTCTAAAAATATAAGAATAATAAATCATTGTTCTGCACTGAAGAAAGTACCTAACTTCACTTTTGTTATGTCATGAATTATTTTATCCTGTTGATTGTTATATAGAAAATTAACAATAATATTATRATTAATTTTTTATATGTTTAATATATATAGTGGTTTTTATAAACAGAAATGTGAAGGATCTACATAAATTCATATATACAAGCCCTTCAGATATCAAACCTAAATAACACTATAAGTTATAAATTTATAATTCTAAAAACATTGTCCAAAATTCAGAGTACCTACGAGTTTAATAATATTAAATACACACTTATTTAATATATTATAGGTTTTATATGGACAAATTATGAACTATCTATTTAATTTACTATTTCATATTTAAATAATTACAATATGACTTTACACCTTATATGTAATAATAATAACATTAGAATGTTATTATATTTACAAGATAATTTTAARCTTATAACAGCTATAACTCAACACGCTTCATTAGCTATTTGTTAAAAACGTTCGAGACAGATTTTTACTTGACATTAGACTTAGRCAYCATAATTACCAACTATCATTGATTCTTAATGTATATTAAGTAATTTGAACATATTATATTTTCATACCTACTCTATCAAATTGCTATACTGATATATTATAGCTGATAATTTATCTCAATGTATTCTATAGAACATAATGTTTAACTAACAGTCTACTACATATAATATTATTAGCAAATTTAATTTTAATTTGTTGTAAATTTGACTCAATTATAAAGAATCACTAAATTAGTCATTACTCTTTAATAATAAGTTAATAAGTATTTTAATTGCAGTTTACGACCCCATCTTCTCTTTAGCCTGCTAGGAGGATTGCCAGAAATGGAGTCAGAATTTAGTGCTGATATTAGCGTATTAGGCTGATGAGTTA